CTCCCAGGGCTACTGATTTAGCCTTGGTTCAGGTGCCATCTCGTGGAGGTCCACTCGCTCCTCATCTGTTGCCCAGTCTAGCTGTGAGGCTGAGATCTACGCCGGTGCCATGGCAGCACAGGAGCTCCGCTGGCTGATCTTCTTGCTCGCCGACTTAGGTGAGCAGCCTAGCTTTGCGCCAGTTCTATACGCTGACATCAGAGCCATGATCCTCCTTTGTCAGGAGCCTCGACTTGAGGGCAAAGCAGAGCACATCCAGCTACGGTACTTCCTCCTGCGCGGACTACAACAGCGCCGCCAGGCTCGCGTAGTACACTTGGCCTCAGGTGCCAACACAGCTGATATCTTTACTAAGGTGCTTGCGCCTAAAGATCATCAGCGGCACTGTTTGCAGCTTGGTCTAGTTCCTTTAGACTCTCCCTTGCTAGCAACTTGATACCTTCCAAACTGGCCTTGTGGCTTCTCTTCCAGTGGCTAGACTAGTAGTGTCGCCCTAGTTTGCTCTTGTCCTGTTTGTACTCTTGCTGATTGGTCTTCGGAACCCTACCTCAGAGGTTGGACTAGTAGTGCCACCCTGAGCTGCATGTTCCTTGCTCTGCACTGCCCCCTATCTAGCCTGGGGGGTGTGTCAACTTATACATATGTTTATATGTAGAAGTTATAGGCTAGATAGGCTTGTGATCTTAGAGGGTACATCTCCAACCCTATATCTTCCCTGTACTCTCTTGTTTCTATTCATTCTAGTATTCTAACAATAGCGTGCCAGTACATCCCGAGCGTGGTCGGTGATATAATTATTATAATAGGATAAGCCAAATGATAATGGGAAAGGAGGAATAGGAACCCAAATGAGAGGAGATGAATACCAATATAGGTAGGAACTCTGTCCTGCATGTGAAACTCAATTCATTCTCTCAGCTTGACAGGCTCTGCCTCAGGGCTCTCGCTAGGCTGTAGGCAGTTTCTAGGCGATCAGACGGCCAAATTTTTAGTTTTCTAAAAAATCAGACGAATCGTAGTGCAGATTCTAGAATTTCAGAAGTTACTAATTTCAATTTCTAGGCTAACCAACAAGGGCCATATTAGCCTCCACGTCCCAATATTTGAGTACGTTTCCTAGTGCCCGAGGTCCTTGGGAGCTTGGGCGTGCACGAAAAAAGGTTTGGGGGTTCAATGTCGTGAGAGGTTCTGATTGGTGGGATGACTGCCAACGCGATGAATGAGGCTTGCGGGAGCGGGAAAAGGGGAGGGGCCTAGCGAGAACCCTGTCTGGGGGAGAGAGGTGTGGGGGGGGGAATTGAAATTGAAGGGGGCGGGCGGGAGGCAAGGCCCTCGCAAGTTGTCTTCACGCACATTGGTTGGCGAGGGTCAGCCAGAGCCAGCCCCCCTCAGGCGAGGCGATCCCCCTCCCCCACAGGAATTAGCTAAGGGTCAACTAGCGCCCTCACACAAACGGCAGCACGCATCGGGTTGTGAGGACGCTAATTGGCCCTTTGACAAATTCTACATGAGGCGAAAAATTTGGTGAAGTCCCTGTTGGTGCCACTCACACACCCTAAAGCAGGTACCGTAATCCCCCGATTATAGGCGCATCCCTTTATTTAGCCCAATGCGCTTATGGAGTGCAAGTGCGCCTATATCCGTTATTTGAATACAAGCGCACCCCCTTTTTCTGAAACGTATTTCCTTTAAGCGCATCTGAGCTATAAGCGCACCCGCATTTCCTATAAGCGCATCCTTCATCAAGTGACACAACGTACAATACTCCACTAGTTAGAAGTTAAAAGTTATGAGACAATAATAATACTATTCCTAAACTAATCCAACCTTAGCTGCGCTAACCTAGACACTCTACACCTACTCATGGGCTGCAACATCATCCGAATCAGAGTCACCCTCAGGAACAGTCTCGTTGTCCCCATAAAAGCCATCTGCGGCTATCTCATCATCACACTCCACCTCTGTCTCTTCTGTAGATCTCCTGTGGGTCATGCAGAGGTGATCCTCAGTGCCATCTAGAGCATTGCTGATGCCACACGTCAAGAAGGCCTTTTGGATGAGCTCTGCAGGGACGGCCTTCCAGGCCTTCGCCACCCACTTGTGAGTCATCTTAGGTGGGGGCTTCTTCAGATTCCCTACACACGTAAACAACCACCAAAGTACCGTAGTTAGACATTATACAAGAATAAGAAACCTGACTCTGACACAACCAAAATATGAGAACTCACCCTTCACCGTGAGGAGGTTGCAGCCCTCTAGCTGAAACCACTCTTGGTACTGCTGCCATACATTCGCCTTGAACGACCAGTTCACTGAGACATCGAGGGGTTGCACCTCAGATGTGCAGCCTGCAGGGATGACGCCATGGGCAATATTCAGCTCAGCATACTTGTCCTTGACGTCCTCAGTCAAGTGGCCGCGATACGAATCGAGAATGAGAAGGGCCGAACGCGCGTGCATGCCGAACCGCGGCTGGATGAAGGGTTTGGCCGTCTCCTCAAGCCAATCCAGTACGCCATCCGCATCCATCCAACCATTGGGTTGGGCAGCGATCCTGACCTCTGCAGCAGACGGGCAAAAAACAAGAACAAAAAAACGGACTTAGTCATGAATAGGAGAGCCATGTGGCAATAGCAACAGGATGGAATGAAAACCGTGCTTAAAGATAACAGCGCAATACCTAGTTAGCAGAATCTCCTAAAGCGTCTAACAAAGAACTGACCTGTTTGTCGCTTAAAGAATGCCCACGGCTTTAACTTCTCGCCAGTTGCCGTGCAGGCCAACATGACGGTTACCCTTTCTTTTTGGTAACCAGCGCTGCGGATTGTCCCCGAATTCGTGCCGATTTCGTCCACCGTGTGATCCGCCAGCATCTCCAGCCACAGTGGTGTTTGGTCGGCGTTGATGATCCACCGAAGGTCGATGCTGTAGTGCCAACGCGAGTCTCTGAAAAAGCGCCAGAATTTCAGCACCTTCTCCTCGTTCTCTGTTGTAAGGGACAGGAGAAAGGAAGAGAAATCCAGATAAGAAGCCAATAATTTGCATGGAAAACTGCACCATGGTAAAGGCAGTGAATGGAATACGACGGAATAGGGACAAAAGCAACTGTCACTTACGCTCGGAGAGTCTCTGACCGACTTTGGTTTTTGCTTGAACGGAGAGGTTCCACCGACGGCGGAAACTCTCTGTCCAACTGTAGGAGCCCTTCGAGGGAGACGTCGGGTGGAGCTGATGCATCAGATCCCGCGACCATGTTTGAAGTCGGCAGACGAGAACAGCGTATCCCTTGGCGCGCTCAGAAAGAACCCGGGAGTAGACTTCAAGCTCCATGTCTTTGTACCAGGAGCTCCAGCCGTGCCCGTGAAGCCATTTCCGACATGGTGCGGCTTCTTTCAGCACTGGCTCTCTCGTCACCCATGTTGCGAGCTGTTTTCGCGAGATTCCTGACTCCCTCGACACTTCGTTGACGCAATTGACTGCTCCGAGGCGCGTTATCCAGTGCAGCTTCTCCTTGGCTGTGTAGAAATGTCGTTGTCGGTGGGTCTGGCGATTCCGAGGAGAGGGAGGGTGCTTATCGCGACTCTGAGAAGAAGGATGGGGCTTCTTCTTCTTAGCGGGCGGGAATGTAGGGATCAGCAGCACCTCGGGGAGTCCATCACGTGCCCAGAACTCAGCTTCCCCCACTTCGGTGTTGCCAGGTACGTCCCAGTCATCAGGGCTGGTGTCTTCAGCCCTTCCCCAGCGGTGAGGCAAGGCTCCGGAATCCTCGTTGACAGCGGCATGGGTGTCGTCAGCGGACTCAGTGTCGTGCGTGCTGTCAGCGCCATCAGCGGGGTTTTCGCCATCAGCGTTGGCGGAAGCGTGCGTGTCGTCAGCGTCGTCAGCGGCGCGCGTGTCGTCGGCGAACTCGGCAGCGGCGCCCTTGCCATCGCCGTAGTCGGCGCCGTTCTGGTCGTCGGCGAAGTTTGCAGCGTCCGTGCAGTTTGTTTTGTCTACTGCGTGAGCGTCGTGAGCAATGCCAGCGGCTTGCTCGTCGTCAGGCACGTTGGGCTGCTCGTCAGAATCCGCTATCTGACTATTGGTTGGCGGGATTAAAGGAGTGAGAATCGGTGTGCCGTTTATTTCTTGCGGGGAGAAAGGCTTGTGACTGCGTGGAGGAATAGGCAATGCGGGAGCCGACCAAGGGGCAGGGGGGGAAGGTGAGGTATTGACGCATGACAGGCCTGTCCGTCTAAGGCGGGTAGGCTCATCAGGTCTACCAAAAAGCACAGCCATGGCCGACAGAGGCAGGCCAGCCATGGCTCTCCTAGCTAAGGTGGGGCTCAGAAGCGTGATTGCTCGCTGAAATAATGAACAATATGAGGGGTGAGCCAGAGCCCCTCTTGGTTGGCGTCTCGTTTTCCTCTACGAGTAAAGCTGCCAGCAGTTGAAATAGGCTCGTAGAGGACAGGTGGCAAGGGAATCCTTGCCACTCTGTCCTCCTACTGGGTGTGCTCGCTTTCTGGAAAGGTCGATGCCTTGCCAGATTCATTGCATCTCACCCAAATCTTGCCTGTCTGGAGCGGATATGCATGTGCCAGCACCCTTACGACCGCAGCCATGGTGTTGCTGGCACAGCAAACCGCCGTTCTCACCTCGTTTTGGACTGCTAGGCAACTTTGCAGTAGCAGCGCTGGCAGAATATTTGAGACACGATTTCTCCCGATTTATCAACACGACCCCCATTTGTGAGTGGTCCGAAAAATCACACTTTTCAAGAGCTACATTTTCATGCATTCAAATATTTTTACCATAAAAAAACTTATCATAAGCTTTGCGCTTATAAATTTTATTCGATTAAAGGCGCATGCTGGTTTTCTTATAGGTATCCCCTATACGCCCCTATGCGCCTATGTCCGGGGGATTACGGTATCGGGTGGTGATTTTGTCGAAGGACCAATCAAAATCCTCATGCAACCTACAGAGATCCATTTCAGATCCTTCGAGAAATTTCGCGAAGTCTGCAATACCAGAAGGACGCGTACACCCATTCTGAAATACCAGAAGGATACAAAATCACTTTCTAGGGCATCAGAAATTCAATAATTGGGTTTCTAAAAAATCAGATGAACGCCTAAAAAAGAGTCTGAAAATCAGACAAACACACGGATTTTGTCTAATGTCGAGGACCCTGCTCTGCCAAGATTGGAAGGCGGGCCTTCGAAGGGAGCCCCCACCAGAGCTCCTTGCACAGGCACTGGTTAGTCGTGGCGCTTGCGTCGCAGGAAGCGGAAAGAAGTAGAGGCAGCAACGGGGCAGAGCAGGAAGAGCCAGTCCAGTACACTGCGCTGCGCGCTGACTTGGTGTCAACTAGAAAGTCCCAGGCTGAGAGGTATTTGGGGTCGCGGTCGTGGTCGCGGTCATGGCCTTTCACGGGTGGAGCCTTGAGGTACTAGTTACAGGGCCGTTTCAAATAGTTAAGCGGAGGTACTCCTCAGGCGTGGCGGTTGTGACGGAGAAAACGGAGAGCCGCAAAGGCAGCGACGCGGCACACGAGGCAGAAGCAGAGCAGGAAGAGCCAGTCCCAGTACACTGCAGAGCGCGCGGACTTGGTGGCAACGAGAAAATCCCAGAGGTACTCGGGGCCCTTGACAGGGTTGAGGTACCACTTGCAGGGGCAGCTGGCGCAGATAGCGGCGGCGCTGGGGCAGCCTGGGAGGGAGCACTCTGGTGCTGCTGTGTTGCAGTAGTATGCCGCTGCTGTTAGCCCATTGAGGGCGTACTGGAGAGAGGGAAGGGGGGTAGAGGGAGAGAGTGAAAATGAGAGTGAGTGGGATGGCATGGAGGGTGCACTCTGGTGCTGCAGTATTGCAGTTATGGGCTGCTGCTGTGAGGTTGTCGAGGGCGTACTGGATTCGGGGGTGGGAATGGGAGGAGAGGAGAAGGCTGAAAAAGAGGGGCAGAAGGGAAAGGGTGAAAAGTCAATGGGCCGGGACTGTGTGGGAGGGTGCAGTCTGGTGCTGCGGTGTTGCAGTAGCAGGCTGCGCCTGCGGCTCTGAGGCCATCTTTGGATGGATTTGAGTTGAGAGAGGGAAGAGGGAGAGAAAGGGGAGGTGGAGAAAAAGAGGAAGGGGCGAGAAAGTGGGAGCGGATGGGGACAGAGGGAATGATTGAGGAGTCAGAAGAGGGCTTGGTTGGGAAGGATGGGCCGTGGGAGGAGAAGACCAGCAATAGCGACAAGAAATGGTGACGAACAGGGCTGGGGTGTCAGGAGATCAACGCCACTGCTTGAGTTGACTCAGCTATCCAAAGAATTTACTAAACTGACTCAAATAAACCGGCACGTTTTACCTTAAGATGCTTAGAAAATTGATCGGTTTGATGCTATACGGAGTAGTTACTGCGCATGTTACGTGAGCACATGTTGTTACGCGAGCACGTGTTACCCAACCACGTGTTACAGTACCTGAATGGGGTTGGTCCAGTACACTGCGAGGAAGAAGTTCTTGGTGAAGGCGAAGGGCAGGAAGAAGCCGCACGTGGCCACCCATGCTGTGATGAGGAATGAAATCACCACTGCTGCATACTGTGTGGGTGCAGAAAAGGGGGGGGGAGGGGGCATGAAGACGGGGTGACTTTACAGTTGACTCACTCGCCACCTCGTTATAATGTCACATGACACCTTTGAGTCGACTGAAAAGAGGAATGACACCATGGTGTGATAGAGGAACGACACCATCACTGCAGCGTAGTGTGTGGGTGCAGACGGAGGGGAATAGGGGAAGAGAAGGAGAGGAGGGGCAGTGACTGTTGAGAATGATGGGAGAAGAAACTGCATGTGGCCACCCATGCTGTGATAAAGATGGGGATGGGGGAACAAGGGGAGAGTTAAGAGTTCTCGCAAGGACACCCATGCATAGAAGAATGATATCAACACAACTGTGTACCCAGCGTGCATGGAGGGATGGATGGGAGACAGAGGGGATGAGGGGCCTGCAACTTGTGGCGGCAACGGGAGGAAGAAGCCCCATGCTGTTACCCATGCTGTCAACCATGCTGTTACCCATGCTGTGATAGAGAAATGATACCACCACCACCGCTGCATACTGCGCGTGCCAGAAGGGACGGGACAAGGGAATAGTTTAGTGAGCTCTTAAGGCCACCCATGCTGTGACAGAGGAACGACATCACCACTGCAGCGTACTGTGTGGGTGCAGGGAGTGTGAAGAGAGGGGGTGTGTGGGGAGGACGTGTGCACGTGTGGCCACAATGACACCACCACTGCCACGCACTGTGGGTGCAGGGTGGAGGGGGATGAAGGTCAAGAGGGAGGGGGTTTGAGTGTGCACGTGTAGAGTGGGATGAGTGAGCCACCCATGCTGTGATCGGAAAATGACACCACCACTGCCGCTTACTGTGGATGCAGCAGGGAGGAAACGACATGGGGGGAGACCAGGGGGGAGAAGGCGGGGGAGAACGCGAACTGAGCCAAAATCACAATTGCTGCTGGCTGCTGCTGCGGATGCAGAGTGGAGAGAAAGAGGTCACTTGGAGCGTGCAAAGGAACCTGCACATACATACATCTAGGGGTCCGGGCAGTACATTCGGTTGGGGTAGTACCTTGGGTTGGGGCAGCAGGACGGAGAGCAGGAAGCCAAAGTAGGTGACAGCGAGGGCGGCGAGGAACTGCGTGAGGCCGAAGGAGAAGAAGGTGCCCGCGCTGCCCACCGCCAGCCCGGCCAGCGGCGCTGCCACGCTGACCAGCGCGAGAGAGGTGAGGAGAAGGTAGGGGATCTGCCGGGGGGGGAGGGGAAGGGGAAGAAGTAGGGGAGCAGAGCGGGATGGAGGGGGAGAAATGGGGAGAGATGGCGGGCTTTAAGGTGCTGCCCACTGCCAGGCCTGCCAAGGGTGCTGCCATGGTTATGAGAGCGAGGGAGGTGAGCAGCAGGTAGGGGATCTGACAGACGGGGGAAAGAGGGGAGGAAGAGGGGGAGAGATGGTGGGGTTTGAGGCGCTGCCCATCGCCAGGCCTGCCAGGGACGCTGCGACAGAGCCAAGAGCGAGGGAGGTGAGCAGCAGGTAGGGGATCTGCAAGCCAAGGGGGGAAGAAAGGGCGAGAAAAGGGGGAGAAAGGAGAGGAGCTCTAAGGCGCTTCCCATTGCCAGGCCTGCCAGGGGCGCTGCCACAGTGACCAGGGAGAGGGAGGCGAGGAGGAGAAGGAGGGGGATCTGACAGGGGAGGGTGATTTTTGAGTCGGCTGAAGCAAATGTCGACTAAAGTATGAGGATGAGGAGGAGGAGGAGGAGGAGGAGGAGGAGGAGGAGGAGGAGGAGGAGGAGGAGGAGGAGGAGGAGGAGGAGGAGGAGGAGGAGGAGGAGGAGGAGGAGGAGGAGGAGGAGGAGGAGGAGGAGGAGGAGGAGGAGGAGGAGGAGGAGGAGGAGGAGGAGGAGGAGGAGGAGGAGGAGGAGGAGGGGATTTGACAGGAAGGAAGCGGAGGGAGAAGAGAGAAAGAAAGGGCGAGAAGGGGAAAAATGGAAGCCTGAGCTTCAGCTGAATCATTGAACCAGTAATGGCTCTAGGTGTTCAAGCCACTACTTACGGCCTCAGCAATCTGTTGTATGCGCAGCTTTAGCAAGGCAAGCAGCTGGTTTTAGCGGCTTGGCACATTGGGGGGTGGTGAGGGCAATTCAGGTATCCCCAAATTGGGTGAGCTCGGAGTCAGTAAGTTAGGGTTCAATGCTCGGCTCTCGCCTCTACCAGTGCAAATGTCATGAGATGCTGAAAACGCCTCACCTGTCAATACCATCACACACTCTCACCTCAACCAGAGTATACGCGAGCGTGTAGAGCAGAGCGAAGTTCTGGTTGTACACCCGCTCCTGTGCAAACACCTTCTTGGTCTGATTCACCAGCCCCACCGCCGTGCCTCCATGGCACGTCGTGCCAAACGCCAGCACGGCGAAGGGGAACGCCTGCGCCGTGGTGGCCGCCAGCAGATTGTGCACGGAGTACTGGAAGAAGAGCGAGCCGATGAGGAGGCCCAGGATGGCGGATTGGACGATCCGGTTGAGTGAGTGCGACGTGTTGCGCCAGTAGAAGAGGTGGATCGTGTAATGAACGGCCAGGATCTTGCGAAAAGAGCTGGGGGGAGTGGAAGAGGAGAGAGCTGGGGAGCGTGTGAGCAGGGGCTGGAGGGACGTGGAGTGGTGGAGGGTGGAGGGGTGGTCTGATGAGCCGTCCTCCCCTTGCTGCTGCCATTCAACTGCTGCCGCGTCTGCTGCCGCGGCAGCTACCGCTGCAGCAGAGGCTCCTCTGTGCCTCAGCATTCCTTGGCATCCAACCTCCCTTCCACACACTTCGCCGTCTCCCTCTTTCTCCCCCGAGGCACCGCTGAGAGCAATGATGGCCTCTTCATCCTCGATCTCCCCTGCCACCGCGTCCGCCCCCTCCGCCGCTATGGCCTCCTCCTGCTCCAGGGCTTGCAGGGACCACGCTGACTCAGACGCCACCACTGCCATGCCAGCAGCACCACTCTCGTCAACCATATCACCTCCTCTCCCTGCTCCCACTCCCCCCATCCCCCTCCCACCACCACCAGCACCTCCAGCACCAGCAGCAGCATCACTGCCAGCAACCACTTTCGCAGCCTCCAAGTTAGCAGCAGCAGCCCTGGCAGCAAAAGCAGCAGCAGCGGCAGCGCCCCCTCGGCGGAGGGCGGAGAGGCGGTGCGCGTTGAGCATGGCGAGGTCGCTGACTCGGTACTCCACCGCGTAGTCGCAGGCCGTGGCGCGCTGGTGACGGGCGTCGCCCAGCAGATTCTCAATGAAGATGATTGGGTTCGTGTCTGGGGGCACCGGGGGGGTGCCGGGGATGGCAGGAAATACTCCTGCAGGGGGGGGGGGAAGGGAGGGCATTGGGCAGGAGGGAATGAAGGGGGAGGACGGGGGCGGTGGGTGCCTGGGGATGGCATAACAGTATTCCTGAAAGGAGGGGAGATGGGGGCATATGAAGGGAAAGGAAGGGATGGGAGGAGATGTGAGAGGGGCTGGGAGGGCGGCAGAGGAGGAAATGAAGGAAATGGGGGGCGAGGGGTGGAGAGAGTGTGAGAGCATGCAGATTAGAGATTACCAAGACCACAGTCGGACTCTCGACAGATCCTGTTCCCATCTCTGGCTGTGTCGCTGCCAAGGCGTTGTTATTGCCCTGGCACTGACCTTACCACAGCACTACCAATAGTCGGCATCACCACAATAGTCAGCTCCCCACGAGCGCGTGGCAGTTCCTCCCCGCGGGGCCAGAGTAGGCCATCCCTGAGGCTTGAGATGATTTAGGCGCCTCAAAAAAGGCTCGCCCCCACCCACTCACCACGAGCGCGTGGCCGTTTCTCCCCGCGGGGCCGAAGTAGACCATCTCGCCGCCGCTGCCCAGCATGAGCAGCGAGTGGAAGGCGTTCAGATGGAACGCGGTAACCGCGTTCGACACCACCACCATCGCCCGCCCCCACACGCCCGCCACATGCTGTTCGAGGGGAAAGCCGAGCAGACAGCACGCATTGGGAGGGCGGATGTGGCGAAGGAAGCGAAGGGAGGGAGAGAGAGAATGGAGAGGATACGACAGCGTGGGAGGGACCGACCTATGCACATGTTCAGACGTCTGTCCAAGCATGTACATCCTTGTCACCCCCTCTTCCCCCCCACCTCGTTTCAGCTCCAAGCTCCTGCCCCTTGTCTCACCTTGAGCATGCCGGAGAACTTGGCGACCTCAGTGGTGTCCATCCTGAGAAACGGCGCGTCAAAGAAGATCACACTCGGATTCCCCGCCATCTCCATCGCAAACACAATGCGCTTCTCCACATACGCCGACCCCACACTATCCGCCAGAATATCCTGCACCAAGCAATCCGCCACGCCCCCTCTGAACTCCATCAGCTCCAGGATCTGAGCCACAAACGCGCGGCGCCGCGTGCCGTCCACTTGCTCAGGCAGTGTGAGCGCGGTGCGGTACAGCAGGCCCTCGCGCAGCGTGAGCAGGGGGTAGTAGAGGTCCGCGCCCTGGATGTACGCTGTGCTGCGCAGGAAGGACGGCGCGTCCCTCGGCTCACCGTTCACCAGCAGGCGCCCGGATAGGTGGCCGGGCACCTTGCGACCTAGGTGGAGGAGAGGCAGCAGAAGAGGGAAGGGAGAGAGTTACAAGAGGCTGGCTCGAGCAACCTCAAGACTAGCCAGGCCCTTGGATATACGCTGTGTTGGGCAGAATAGCGGGCGGGTCCCTGGGCTAGCCGTTCACTAGCAGGCGAATGGACAAGTGGCCTGGGCCAGTGGCCAGTGGCCACCCTGCAGCAGCACAGCACACGGCAGGGGTTTCTGTTTTAAAGGCTCCTCTGGAGAGGCCGCAGCGCAAGCAGTGAATAGTGGCAGGGAAGGGAATGGACACAGGTGGTGGCTGAAGAGTGCACTGTCTCCACGTGATATAAGGTTGGTTTTGAGACGTCTCAAAACCAACATCTCCACATCTCAGCCTTGAGGCACAGACGTGGGCAGCAACGGCGCTGCTGCTTCGGATTTCCATCCATCTCAACAGAGCAGAACAGATAACATTCTACCTGCTCACCTGCCAAGCAGTTGAGCAGCATTGACTTGCAGGTGCCCCTGCCGCGGGCAATAGCTGTGACCTTCCCCTGATTCACCCACTCCGCCACACGGCGCACCAGGCTGCTTCTGAGTTGAGCTGCTTTTGAGTTGAACCAGCAGCAGAGCACTCAATCGACTCGTCTAGACACTCACCTGCGATGCAGTTGAGCAGCGTTGTCTTGCCGGTGCCCCTGCCCCCCGCGATAGCCGTGATCTCCCCCGGCTTCACCCATCCTGTCACGCCGCGCACCAGGCTGCGACTCAGCTCACTCCTCCTCGCCGCACCGCTGCCGCCCCCAGGGCCACTGCTGCTGCCCAGAGAGGTCATCCACGTGCTCTCTGATTGGCTGGGCAGCGGCACCGTGCAGGAGAGGCCCTCAAAGGTGATGAGGTACGGGGTGAAGGGAATGTTGGACTCTATCACCGCTGCCTCTGCTGCTGCTGCTGCAGCTTGTGAAGCTGCCTGCTCCTCTTCTGCTGCAGCATAGCTTGAGAAGCCGCCACCACCCATGCCACCCACAGGCCCCCACTCCAGATCTGTGCCGCTCTCCATCCCTCCTGCTCCTGCCTGTGCTCCTGTCAGCGCTCCTTCGCACGCCTTATCAAAACGGCCATCCCCGCCTTCCGAAGCTTTCTCCTTGCCACCAGCCATCCCCTGCCTGGCAGCCGTCACTGCTGCTGCTCCTGCTGCGGCCACCACTCCCCCTGCGGCGGCTATGGCTCCTCCTGCCACCGACGCCACCTGAGCTGTGGCCCCTGTCACCACCCCTGCTGCCCTCCCTGCTGCTGCCACTGCTGCCGCTCCTGCTGCTCCTGCTGTTCCTGCTGCCCCTGCTGCTGCCCCCCCTACCCTCGCTACAGCAGCAGCCATTCCTGTCCCCTTTGAAACCTTCCCTCCGTTGGCCCCTCCCCTGCCCCCTCCTCTTCCCCTTACTGCTCCTTCCGCCCCTTCGTCCTTCTCTTCACCACCCTCCCTGCCAATCACCCGCCTCACGCCTTGCTTGCTCTCACTCAGCACCCTCACAGGGGGCGCAAAGCCCTTGTAGTGGCTGGGGCGCATGCTCAGGAAAGTGCCCACAGTCCACATCCCAATCCACGCGAGAATCACGAACGGCCCGGCAATCATGTACCCCCACTCGTAGTTCCAGCTGTACTCTTCCATGTACGCTCTACCGAGCGGCCATCCCCCCCTCCCCACACAGTACGGCATGGTAGCAGGGACCTGGTCCGGGCAGAACTTCACAGGGGCGTATTGCCGCTGCTCGTTGATCGCTAGCACCGTCGACGCCCACTGCATGGGGTTGATCCAGTATAGCCAGATCCAGAAGCTCGGTATAAGCGCTTTCGCTACGAGGATGTGGCCGAAGAGGAACATGCCGGGGCCCATGAAGAGGGCGGCGGCAAAGGCGGCGGAGCGCAGCGAGCGAGCGGCGAAGGAGATGAATCGGATCATGGCGGCACCGTGGATGGCGACGAGGGCGAGCACAGCGAGGAAGATGAAGAAGTGCGCTCCGTAGTCAGAGAGGTTCAGGCCCGAGAGGAAATACACCAGCACCGACCAGATGGTCGCCTGGAGGAGGGGGAGGGGGAGGGAGAGTGGGATGGGGAGAGGGGCAAGGACTATCCGAATATGAAGGAAGTGCGCGCCGTGGTCGGAGAAGGTGAGGGCTGAACGAGGATCAACCAGATGGACTGAGAGAAAAAGGGGAAGGTGGGGAGAGTGAGAGGGAAGCGGGAGGCTTGGAGGGTTTCTCTACAGATGAAGTGCACGCCTTAGTCTGAGAGGGTGAGGCCCGAGAGGAAAGGGACCAGGATGGACCAGATGGCCGCCTGGAGGTGGGGAAGAAGGGGAAGAGGGAGGAAGGCGACTTAAAAGAGTGAAGAGCTGTGACAGCATGGCGGCATGGCGGCATGCGGGCCCTGTGCTCCTAGGCAACTGACAGAGGTGATGAGCTGCGCGAGCACGTAGGAGCGCGAGCATAGCCCCACGCTCCTCGACGAGGCAGCCCTGCGATGAGCTGTGCGAGCACATAGGAGCGCATAGGAGCGCGTGCAGAAGAAGCGCGCACTGCGGTGCTTGAAGCACCTTTGCTTACTAAGTCAACACACGCACGCACCTCGACTATAGATAGTGGCAAGCCGGCGATGAGCTGTGCGAGCACATATGAGCGCGTGCGGAAGAAGCGTGCGCTGCGGTGCTTGAAGTAGACCTGGCGCTCCAGCATGTAGCCCGGCAGCAGGCTGACGTTGTTGACGGTCATGGTGATCAGCGAGATCTGCATCACGCCGCGCCGCAGATTCAGGTGCGCGAAGGACGGGGGGTCTGCTGGGAGCTGGTAGAAGTCGAAACCCACGAATAGGCCCAAGAGAGTGACCTGGGGAGAGCGGGAGACAGAAGGCAAAAGTAAGCAGAAGTTTGACTGGAGTTGCCTTCACACAGAAGGAACAGTATTACATGAGTGGCTACTCTACTCATTTATCTCACAGCACGTTACGTTACTCTCGTGGATTTAAGATTTCTCTCACCAGCAGCAGGCGCGCAGCAATGACGCTCCGGTTCCTCAAAACTCAGGTTCACCTTCAGCTGCCGCCCCAGCAGCAGCTTGAACCCAGGCCACGGATCCAGAATGAACTCTTCATTCAGCAGCTCCCCATTTGTTCCCCCACAAAGCCCTGCCATGGCTGCTGCGCACCACCCTCACGCCACCCGCCAGCTACTCTCACACCCCTTGAAACCCTTGCAAAACAGGTCACTAGCAGACCGAACCCCACTCACCAGCAGCAGGCGCGCAGCAATGAAGCTGCGATTCCTCATATTCACTCTCAGCTGCCGCTGCAGCAGCAGCTTGAACTCGGGCCACGGCTCCAGAATGAGCTCCTTGCTCAGCAGCTCCCTATTCGCGCCCCCCCACAGCCCCGCCATGGCTGCTGCCCTCGACGCCGCCGCCGCAGCCGACAGGTTCATGGCTTTAAGTGCCCCAATGCCCATGCGTGGGAGCTGCAGGAACGCCTTGCTGCTCTTGCCTCTCAGCGCCCCGAAGCTGAGGTTCTTGAAGGCCGAGGTGATGGCGCGGGGGAAGGCTTTGGGGAGGGATTTAATGCGAAGAGGCTTGCGCCGCTTTCCGCTCGCTGCTGCTGCGCCCTCTCCCTCTGCCTCGCCATCAGGGCCTGACCCAGGGAGACCTGAACTCCCGGGGAAGAGCCCTGCCCCTGCATCACAGGCCACTAGACCTCGCCTTTCATCGTCGTTAGCACGCTCGGCCAGAGCCCCGCTGCCCTCCTCGCCGTTACCATGGGCAGCAGCTTCCGCGATCCCGCCCACACCTGCGGCACTGGTGGTACACGTGCGCGCACCAGCTGTGGGTGCTGGTGCTTCCACATGGACATCCACGTCATCGTCGGCTGGTTGTGGGGGAGCTATCAGCTGCGCGGTTTCCGTGCTGGAGGAGGCCTCTTGGGCGGTGGCGTCTTGGGCGGTGGCGTCTTGGGTTGTGGCGTCTTGTGCGGTTGCTTTCTGTGAGGTGTCATTCTGGAAGCAGAAGAGGGGGGCGAGACAGGATGGGTGTGATGAGGAGGAGCGAACACAGGGAACGGGAGCAGCTGGGCTGGGGACAGGGACACGCCATAGGCGTGACCCCCACCATTCTCTTCCCCCACCATTCTCTTCCCACACCATTCTCACCCAACAGAATTCGCAAACCACCCCCACCCTGGCCCTCGCCGGTTGTGTGACCGTAAGGAGGGGTCGCTGCAGCTTCAAGTGGAACCACGGGGAGCCGTCCCTCAGCTGCTGCAGCATGCCCACAAGCTCCCTTCCCAACACGCCCCTCCCCTCCCAACACGCCCCTCCCCTCCCAACACATCCCTCCCCTGCCCCCCTCTCCCATGCCATACCTAGACCTGTAGACCAACCACATGCAGCATGGTCTATCAGCACAGTCCCCAACACATCCCTTCCCCCCCCCCTCTGGCATACCTAAACCCAATAACCGCCCCCAACCTAACCCCGGCCCTTACTGCCTGTGTGACTATAGTGAGCGGGCGCTGCAGCTCGAGGTGCAGCCAGGCGCTGCTGTCCCTGAGCTCCTCCAGCATGCCCATGAGCTCGTCCCCCGGCACGTCCCCCCCCGCATAGCTCGCATACTCCATCTCACCCCTCTCCCCCACCGTCACAGCCACCACCACATCCCCCACACACACCGGCCCTGTTGCCTCCACGCCCTCCTTCAGATGCCCTCCCCCCCCGGCCCCCTCAAAGAAGATCCGCGCCTCTGTGACCACCACTGCTTGGTAGGGGGTTGGCGTTGCTTCTCCTTTGCTCTCCGCTGCTCCATTGGCTACTGCTGCTGCAGCGTTTGGGTGATCCTCCCGCTTCGACCTCTCGCCATCCGATGCTGACGTGGCAGCGTCTGAAGCGCTTGGATCTGCAGCTGGCGTTGCATCGGGTGCCACGTCAGCAAGGGCACAGCGGACGCGAGAAAGGACATGGCATGCCGGCCCCGAAATCCAGAGGAGGAGAAGAGGCGTGGGGTGGCTTATGACACGAAGAATGTTCTTGTAATGAGGCGACTTCTCGTATTCCCGCACTGTTGGAGGGGGGCAGGCGGAAAAAAGCACAGGGTGGATGGGATGTGAGGGATTGGTTGTATTGTGGTGTGAAGAAAAACGACGGGAAGGGGTGAGAATTTTCGGGCATGAATGTTGACATGCAGCGATTCGCCCTCCACGTATCAAAGCCTTCCAGCAGCGCCCCTCCCACCCACCCCCTAAACCTCCCACTTTCCCAACCCTCCCACTCCCCCAACCCTCCCATCGCACCGAATCCGTCCAGTAGCAGCTTCTTCTTGCCCAATCGGAGGGTCCCCCCGCCCTCCGTGGTGACATGCTGCAGGTACTCCGGCACCGACATGTGCAGCGGCTTCAGGTAGCTGGGGTAAGAGGTGGAGGGGTGGGGTGGGGATGACGACGACGGGGATGACTCTAGGCACCTAGAAGGGACGTCGCAATGTGCGTGCGGACGAAGGGCCTAGAAGGGAAGTAGATTTAGTCAGCTGCAGATGCTAGGGGGAGGGATAGCGGGGTGGGAGAAGGAGAAGGGAACTAATATGAGCTGCCTAAAACAGCACCAACACATGTAGTGGCTTCAAGCAGCTAGAGGCGGGTTGGGGGAAGGGCGGAGGTGGGGGGGATGGCGGGAAGGAGAGGGGGAACCGCCCCTTGAAGAGTCTGAAGCCCCTTGAAGAGTCTGAAGCCGCATCTTGCAGGGCAACCTGCACCTTGTAAGCACGGTAAACACGACCCACAAGGGCAATGTACACGATACCCAAACAGTGTAGTCATGGTTCATACACAGTTCAAAACGCAGTAATCATCATTCATGCACACCCGAGGTGTTGAACGTGCCTGAGAGCGTGTGGCAGGCGGGTAGACATGGGCAAAAAAAATCGCACCGCATCGCATTTAATCGCGTTTTTGCGATTGCGTTTTTCTTCTTCTTCTTTTCGCGAGATGCGATGAACTGTTTATCGCGCGATTTAATTTAAATCGAATGCTGATCGCGTTAAAAAACGCGATTTAAATGTGATATGCGTTTAAAGAATTGCGCGCAATGTCGCACTGAAATCCACTACGAAACCACACTAGTTATTTGCACTCTAGCTTACGACTGCCCGTGATTCAATTTCCCGGCAGCCATGGTTTTTTCTGATTTTTTGGGGTGTTTTTTCATTCTGTTTTAACAGGCAATGCGATTTAAAAACGCATCGCGCGATTAAATTAAACATCGCATGCGGTTTTAATTTTCATCGCGCGCAAAACGCGATGTGCGATTTTTTTTTCCAGAAATTAAATCGCGCGATGCGATTTTTAATCGCCCCCCAATGCGATGCGATTTAAATCGCAATCGCATTTTGCCCATGTCTACAGGTGGGTGTTGAAAGACAATTTGGCACTCGTTGAGAACAGTAACAGGAGAACACGCAGCACAGTACACACACACACGCGCGCGCGCATGGGTCTTGAAATTCAGGACTCACCCCAATTGCTGAAAGTGCCTGAGAGACACATGGCAGGGCCCCTGGAAGACGATTTGGCCCTCGTTGAGCACAATGACCCGGTCAAAGAGGGAGAAGACAGCCTGCGTGGGCCACTGCAGCGAGCACAGCACCGCGTGCTGCCGCACCTGGTGTTTTTGGGAGGATGGAGGAAGGGAGGGTAGAGAAGGCGGTAGCTGGGTATGCAGGGGTGGCAGGGAAGTGGAGTGGGTTGAAAGGGGTGGGTGTGTGGAGGGAGGGATGCTGATAAAGAATAGGAGAAGATGGCTCTCGGCCATTAGAGGCTGCTTTTGAGTCAATTTAAGAGGAGCGAGAAAATGTATGAAAGGGTGAGAGTGTGGCCAAGAGGCTTTGTTCCCGTTAGAGGAACATCCTTTTCCATGAGATGCTTGAATCTACATGGGAGGAGTGCACTTCTGAGAATTCTCAAAGATACTTGAATCTAAATACATGGGAGGAGTGCACATGGGGCACGCACATGGTAGGTAAGAGCTTTGCGCATGGAGGGCAGTTACACAAGCACACACAGAAACTCAGGCCCCAGCATGCTAACACACCCACATACAGACACCCGCACACAGACTCTCACACACGCACACACACTCACACAGACACACACTCTCATGCTGTCTCACACACACACGGAGTCTGAACTGAGCATGGGGGCACAGCACGGTAATAGGCTTATGTGAGCATCCCACAACGGCATGGGTGCATGGATACACAGCGGGCTTGCATCCCACGCAACCGTGGCGCGCAGGCAAACACACGGGCATCCGCACACACCCCCTCACCTGGGCGTGGGTGCGCAGCATGGTGAGAGTCTTGTGGGTGGACGGCCCGTCGTACACCTGGCTGATGCGGTCAAACAGCAGCACCTGGAGGGGGGGGGGGGGGAGGAGGAGGAAGGGGTTGTGGGAGCAAATGGGGATGTCTGTGAGCACACGTCTGGAAAGGTAGGGTGCGACCAACGCACCACACCTCCAAGTGGCAAGTAGACATGGTTAACATGCGATGCGATATAATATCGCATCACATTTCTCCATATCGCACTTTATATCGCACGATATAATATCGCATAGCACCCACAGCCATGGTGCCCCCTCTCCCTTCTCACCAGGTAAGCCCCGGCCATGAGTTCAGCCGCAGAGCCCGTGCACCTCATCCCCTCGTGAGCCCCCCCACCCCCACCCTCTCCCAGCCCGTCTCCTCCTCCCCCTCTCCATGCTCGCCCTCACCTCGGTGCCTTGTCCACTGATCCACACAAACCCTCGAGAGCCCCCCCGAACCCACTGTCTCCCCGGCGCGCCGCGTGAGTCCAAACATAGCTTCCCTGGACGCCACCAGGGGGCCCTCACCCCTCTCAATGCTGGCCCTCAGCTCAGCGCCTTGTCCACCGATCAACACACACCTACTAGCCTTCTCCAGCCTGATTGATGCCCGTTTCCCCCCTTCTCACCGGGTAAGCCCCAACCATGAGCTCAGCAGCAGCCACACGGTGCATCCCTTGTCAGACTCCCCCCCCAAACCCTACCCTCGAAACATATCCCCTGATCAACACACACCGACTAACCTTCTCTATCCTAACAGATACCCCCACCCCCCCCTTCTCACCGGGTACGCCCCAACCATGAGCTCAGCCGCAGTCAGCCGGTGCACCTCGTCCCGGGAGAGCCCCCCCGACCCCACTCGCTCTCCAGCGCGCCTGGTGAGTCCAAACATGGCTTCCCTGGACGCCACGAGGGGGTCCTCGCCGCGCTCAATGCTGGCCCTCAGCGCCTTGCCCAGCATGGGGTGCTGCAGCAGCTGCTGCACTGACAGCGGGTACGAGCACTGCCGCGCAAACGACAGCGTCTCGTGCACCGACAGCGCCGGCAGGTGGCAGTCCGCCTCGAAGCCGACTCCAGCTAGGCGGTGCGCGCGCGAGGGGGTTACGGGGAGGGCGTTGAAGGTGACGGCGCCGGCAGTGGGGGGCTGCCGGCCGGCTAAAAGGCGGATGAGGGTTGACTTGCCACTGCCTGGGGCAAAGGAAGCAGGGGGCACAGGCAGGGGGCACAAGCAGACAGGGGGCACAAGCAGACAGGGGGCACAAGCAGGCAGGGGGCACAAGCAGGCAGGGGGCACAAGCAGGCAGGGGGCACAAGCAGGCAGGGGGCACAAGCAGGCAGGGGGAACAAGCAGGCAGGGGGCACAAGCAGGCAGGGGGAACAAGCAGGCAGGGGGCACAAGCAGGCAGGGGGCACAAGCAGGCAGGGGGCAGCACAACGGCATGTGTGAAGGAGAGGGTCTGGCAGTCGGTCCCACAGCCCACTCCGGCGAGCCGGTGCGTGGGAGGGCGTGGTGGGGAGGGGGTGATGGGGAGGGCGTGGTGGGGAGGGGGTGATGGGGAGGGCGTGGTGGGGAGGGCGTGGTGGGGAGGGCGTGGTTGGGAGGGCGTGGTGGGGAGGGCGTGGTGGGGAGGGCGTGGTTGGGAGGGCGTGGTGGGGAGGGCGTGGTTGGGAGGGCGTGGTTGGGAGGGCGTGGTTGGGAGGGCGTGGTGGGAGGGCGTGGTTGGGAGGGCGTGGTTGGGAGGGCGTGGTTGGGAGGGCGTGGTGGGGAGGGCGTGGTTGGGAGGGGGTGGGGGGGGGGGGGGGGGGGGGGGGGGGGGCGTGGTGGGAGGGCGTGGTTGGGAGGGCGTGGTTGGGAGGGCGTGGTGGGGAGGGCGTGGTTGGGAGGGCGTGGTTGGGAGGGCGTGGTTGGGAGGGCGTGGTTGGGAGGGCGTGGTTGGGAGGGCGTGGTTGGGAGGGCGTGGTTGGGGAGGGCGTGGTGGGGAGGGCGTGGTTGGGAGGGCGTGGTTGGGAGGGCGTGGTTGGGAGGGCGTGGTTGGGAGGGCGTGGTTGGGGAGGGCGTGGTTGGGAGGGCGTGGTGGGGGGGGGGGGGGGCGTGGTGGGAGGGCGTGGTGGGAGGGCGTGGTTGGGAGGGCGTGGTTGGAGGGCGTGGTTGGGAGGGCGTGGTTGGGAGGGCGTGGTTGGGAGGGCGTGGTTGGGAGGGCGTGGTTGGGAGGGCGTGGTTGGGAGGGCGTGGTTGGGAGGGCGTGGTGGGGGGGGGGGGGGGGGGGGAGGGCGTGGTGGGGAGGGCGTGGTTGGGAGGGCGTGGTTGGGAGGGCGTGGTTGGGAGGGCGTGGTTGGGAGGGCGTGGTGGGAGGGCGTGGTTGGGAGGGCGTGGTGGGGAGGGCGTGGTTGGGAGGGCGTGGTTGGGAGGGCGTGGTGGGGAGGGCGTGGTTGGGAGGGCGTGGTTGGGAGGGCGTGGTTGGGAGGGCGTGGTTGGGAGGGCGTGGTGGGGAGGGCGTGGTTGGGAGGGCGTGGTTGGGAGGGCGTGGTTGGGAGGGCGTGGTTGGGAGGGCGTGGTTGGGAGGGCGTGGTTGGGAGGGCGTGGTTGGGAGGGCGTGGGGGGGGGGGGGGGGGGGGGGGGGTGGGGAGGGCGTGGTTGGGAGGGCGTGGTTGGGAGGGCGTGGTTGGGAGGGCGTGGTTGGGAGGGCGTGGTGGGGAGGGCGTGGTTGGGAGGGCGTGGTTGGGAGGGCGTGGTTGGGAGGGCGTGGTTGGGAGGGCGTGGTGGGGAGGGCGTGGTTGGGAGGGCGTGGTTGGGAGGGCGTGGTTGGGAGGGCGTGGTTGGGAGGGCGTGGTTGGGAGGGCGTGGTTGGGAGGGCGTGGTTGGGAGGGCGTGGTGGGGAGGGCGTGGTTGGGAGGGCGTGGTTGGGAGGGCGTGGTTGGGAGGGCGTGGTTGGGAGGGCGTGGTTGGGAGGGCGTGGTTGGGAGGGCGTGGTGGGGAGGGCGTGGTTGGGAGGGCGTTGGAGAAATCGGGGATTGGCGGCCAGGTAGAAGGCGGATGAGGGTTGACTGCTACCTGGGAGGTAAGAGTGACAACGAGGGGGTGAGGGAGTGAGAGCAGGTGTGGAAGTGAGAGCAGGTGTGGAAGTGAGACAGGATGATGGGAAGGGTACTGAAATCGACTGAGCTGGGTTGCCAGCCTGGTAGGAGATGGATGAAGGTTGATTTGTTGCAGCCTGGCGCCATAAAGAGCTGGCAAGGACAAGAGCGGATGAGAGTGAATGCTACAGCAGTGCATAATCGGCTCTCCATGAGAGGAGAAGGATGGGTGGGCGGGGGGGCAAAGGGGGATACTGGGGGACGGGAAGGGAGATGGGGGGACGAAAAGGGGGAGATTGAGGGGAGGATCAAGGGTTGAGGACCTGCAACGTTCACCTGCCACTGGTGGCCCGGAGGAGGATCTCAACCCTTTATCCCGAAGATGGGTCGACCAGAGGCACCTGAGGATGGGGTCGACCTGGGGTTCACGTGAGGCTATTAGCTAGATAGCATGACAGCCTTACCCGAGGTTCCGAGGAGCAGAGTGAGAGTCCCTGGCATGAGGAAGCTGCAAGGGAGGTGCGAAAATATGACGGAGGGCAGGGAGAGATGTTGGGTTGGAAGAAGGAGAGCGGACAGGGAGAGGCGGGAAATTAAAAGGAGATGAGTGGTGGGGGAGGAGTTGAGGGAATGGGGGAGGAGAGACGTCTATGAAGTCAGAGAAGAGCAGGGGTGTCACATGTGCACACACAGACATGGATGCATGTGCGCACACAGACAAGGATGCATGTGCACAGCACACAGAGACATGTGCGCACACAGACATGGATGCATGTGCGCACACAGACATGGATGCATGTGCACAGCACACACAGACATGGATGCATGTGTGCAGGTTTGTGCAGAGCAGATGTGAGGTTGCGTGCGAGAAACAGTGTAAATCACCGGACACAGGACACATTGACACACTCTCAGGAGCAAGATACAGCCCTGCAGTACAAGACACAGCCCTGCGGCACAAGACACACCCCTGCGGCACAACAAGTCACACCCCTGCGGTGCAAGACGCACCCCGAGACATCATTGAGCACTTGAACGGTCTCCTTCTTCTGCCACCCCGCGATGGACTTGAGCTTGAAATACGGCTGCTCCCACCCGCAAGGACGAGGGGTAAACAAGCAGTCAGAGAGGCAGGCAAACAGGCAGGCAAACAGGCAGGCAAGCAGGCAGGCAAACAGGCAGGCGAACAGGCAGGCAAACAGGAGGGCAAACAGGAAGGCAAACAGGCAGGCAAACAGGCAAGCAGGCAAACAGGCAAGCAAACAGGCAGGCAGACAGGCAGGCAAACAGGCAGGCAAACAGGCAGGCAAACAGGCAGGCAAACAGGCAGGCAAACAGGCAGCAGAACGGCAAGTCAGTGAGGGCCTAAAAGAGGGGTTGACAAAAGCAGCGGAGCTAACTTATTCCAAACACCCATGTCTCCCCAACGCATGCCACCATGCAGACATGGACTGCTGAACTCATGGCCTGGCTGCACTCGCTTAAGCCCCACGCATGGCATTCACACCGATCTCACCGCGTCCCACTCTCCCTCGCCCCCTCCCATTCCCTCTCACCACATCCCGTTCTCACCACGTCACAATCTCACCGCGTTGAGGCAGTTCTTGATTTGATCCGGGATGACCTCCACCTTCTTCGTCACTGCCACGTGGCTGAATGCCACCACCTGGTTGGTTGGGTTGGGCACGTGGATTTATAGACGTATGGGTGTGTGCAGCCATGCCTGCGTGCACGCGCACGCACGCACGCACACTCGAACCCTGCAGCCTCGCACGCCCCACTGCTCGTCCCGCTCACCTGCGGCTGCGCGCACAGCAGGTGCGGCTGCATGGCAATGAGGTACCTCTGCAGCCCCTCCCGCACCATCACCTCGCTCCTCATCGACTCCATGGGCCGCAGCCCTGCACCGCCTCCCGCTCCCCCTCTGCCCCTCATCCCTCCACCCGCCCCTGGAAAACCCCCTCCTCCTCCTCCTCCACCTCGTCCCCCTTCCACGCCTCCCTCCTCGTCGTCCTCCTCATCCCACCTCCCCCGCCCGGCGGGCGCCATGCTCTTTATACTAACCAGCCTGGCAGCGGCGGACGCAGCGATCTGCCGTGCCTCGCCCTCCAGCCCGTGGGCCCGCAGGGCGTCGTGGTAGCGCCGAATGAGGTTGATCAGCGGCGCCTCTCCAATGCCGAACAGCTCGCTGTAGAACGACGCTGAGGAGAGCTCGTCCGACTCGTTCGGCTCGTCCGAGTCATTGGAATCGTCCCCAGAGCTGCGGGGATCCTCGTGGCTGGGGGCTGAAGCGGCAGAGACGTCGGAACCAGTGGCAGCCGCGTGCCACGCGTTAGGCCCGAAGGAGACCCTGCTGCGCCCCCCGACGAACGGTGGTGCATTGGTATTCTCACTACCACCACCGTAGTCCCGGCGCTGTGTCGCGTCCTCGTTCCTATCCTCCTCGCCGTCGTCGTCGTCGTCGTCGTCGACGCCGACGTGCCACGTGCCAGCAGCGAAGCTCGTTCTCCCGAGCTTCGCCCGTCCGATCCTCCGCCCGCCGCCTGCTCGATCCTCCCCTTCTCTGCTTCCCCCTGACGCAGCCCCGCCGCCGCCCTCCCGCGTGAATGCTTCTTCCCCGCTGGGTTCCCCCCATCCTCTGTTCCCCCCATCCTCTCCGCTTTCCCCAATAGCTACCCCGCGCGGTGGCTCTTTCCCCTCGGCGTCGTCCGCCTCCCATTCTGCGCCTTCGTCGATAGAGCCCACGTGATAGAGCAATTGCGCAGCGGCGGACGCGCTACTAACGAAACGCGGGATTGTACTAACGAATCTGGAGCTTTCGACTGCAGGCCTCTCTCCGCCTGCAGGCCTCTCTCCGCCTGTGCTCGCGGAAGGGCGCAACGAGGAGGCAAGCGCCGCGCGACTCCTTGAGGTTTGTTGCTGATGTGGGGACTGCTGACGTGTCGACTGCTGACGTATCGACTGCTGACGCATTGACAAGCGACGACGGAGCGCGGCATACTCGTTGGTCGTGCTTCGACGGGAGTCGTTAAAGGAAGGCGCCACGACGGTGGTTTCGACGCCGTCGTACCAGTCGTCTAGAGTCTCCGGTACTGACGTGGCATCGCCGGGATCCATGATGGAAGGAGCCATGATGACGACTCCGATTATGATCGCACCGTGCGCATTGAAAAGTGGATGTTCACTACGTCAACAGACGCGGAATAAATAAACGCTTACTGCGCACACGCTCCTGTCGCGTCGTGTAGAGTAGTAGCAATGGTGACGACGAGCGAGAACTCCCGGATTATAAAGTACGAGGAACGATTCAGTGAATCGAGACAACTGGAAAGGAGACGCTACGAAGGACAATGGACCAGCGAGGAGAACCAAGCAGGCCTCGATATCCTAGGGGTCACCCTGCAGTTTCCGAGTTTGCCCGGGATCCAACTCGTCCAGGCTGGGTAGCCCTAAAAAGTTTGACTGTTCTTGCAGGCAAGAGTTTTGTCAGGGGGAGATTTTTTAACTCGGGGAGCGAACGTTTACATTAGATTTTACACGGCGGGTCTATCCCGTACTCGGAAATTGGCCGTGGGATATTCTGGCTTGCCTGCCCATGGACGGGTATCGATATTCTGAATGCGTCAAAAGCAGGGCTAGGTAAAACATTCACCCTGTTTTCCTTGACAAAGCATTGTAATTACCCTGGCTTCCAGGGGCCTGGAACCAAGAGGAACCGGAGTCCCTGGCACGCAGCGAGCAGCTCTAAGAACTCGAGAGCTGTAGCGTGCCAGCAAGCCACAAAAAGCTCTGGGCGTGTCCCAAGAGGACGTTTTGGCTTGTCCCAGGGCGTGTCCCAAGAGGACGTTTTGGCGTTTTGACAATTTCGGAACGTATTTCACAATCAACGGCAAGGGTGTACCCACAAGCGTGAACATTCCGAGCGTGTCCACGTATCGCCACGTCACCACTGACGCGCGAAGAATGACTCGCGGACACAATTCGCCTGGACCACCAAATCCATTCGACACACACATTTGACGATGTGACCAGAAGTTACAGAAGTCGCCAAACATTTCGCCGTGAGTCAGACCCCCACAAAAAATCCTGTGCACATGTCGCGAAAACAGGTTGTGCGAAAATCATTTCAGGCCCCTGATTTGAAGGACTGGTGCGTACCTCAAGGCACACCCTCGTTTCTGTGACCCAAAGCAAGCTTCACATTCCGCGATACGGCAGGCACATACCGTCATTCACGGTGACGCGGTGTTTGTGTTCGCGTGAACAAAATCAGGTACGGTTACAATGAGTAATCGGATAACGGTACCATAAAATGATGCCAAAACGTCCTTTTCGGGCACGCCCCCAAGAGCGGTGGCGTGGCGTACTATACAGTACGGGGGCTCATCACACGCACTGAACATCGGAACGCAATTTCGCGAGGGAATCGTGCGCTTCAACAAAAATAAGTTTGGTTCAAAACTGTCGACCCTTTTTGCGCGCGATGTATAGAATGCCCCCGTCACCCAAAACGGTCGACCCTCCCCAACTGTACCCGTTTTCAGTTTGATATCAGAGACCACTACGTCTTTTACAGGCTGCTGATATGGGCAGCATGTGAGGGGTCCGGTTCGGAAGCATACGACAAACGATGACGGCGCATTGAGGGCTGCGGCATTCGGGAAGGCACGGGCAATCATTTCGGGCTTGCCGTTATCATTAGTGACGTCGTTTTCCGTTATATCAGGGCTGTACACCTCAGCATTCCGTAATTACAGGTCTGACGAATCTTGTGAAACCAGCAGACCAGCAAGGTGTGGTTTCGCGTTTTCCCGTCAGCCAAGCACCACTCTCGGTCAGGGCTTATATTTAACAATCCGATAGTTGCAAAATAACGGGTTATTTTTCATAACTTTCCGGCTTCGGTCGTGTTCGTTTTGCTAAGTGCCCTGATTTGACTGGAGAGCCTCTAGCACATACAGATTTTAGCTCCAAAAAAACTCCCCTCCCCTCAACTTCCCCAACCATCCCACCCTCTTCCCCCACACCCCTCCCAACCCCCCTCGCCACCTCCCTTTTCCCTCCAATAAACACGAAAAGTGGATCCACAAGAGGACGGAAATCACACGAACAAGCTGATTTTTGTCGTGCGGGTGTACCTTAGATTGCATGGCGGTTCATAAGAGTGAGAACAGTAGCATAAGTTTACATAAGCGAAGTCTGTGAGGAAACACAACCTTTGGACTGGAAGATTTTGACGCTACGAAAATCTCTCGGATCTAACGCGTTGTTTTTGTTCCCACACGGACTCTGATGTGCTACTTTTATACCCGGACTACCTGGATCTGCCGTGTGGGCAAAAGCCCAAAGGTAAGCCCTGCTCTCGGTGCCCGCGAGTTTCTCGCAAGTTTCGTGGGCATTTATATGCGAGGTCACAAACACTAGGCGTGTTATCACGATCAGTTATTAGGCTATTACGAACAGTCACTTTTAGTGGCGATCTATCACGGTTAGTCACACGGTTATCAGGAGTCATCACTCGCTCGGAGCCAAGGCCATCACGTTCGGTCACAAGATGAAACAACCGCTGAAAAGCTGAAAATCCCGCCAAAAATTGCACGCGCGCTGAGCTTCTGATAGGATTCGCACTGTGTTCAGTCGCGTGTGGCTTCTGTTAAGTTTGTAACTCATTCAATTCTGATGTCTTCAATTCTTCAAAAATGACTAAGTTCGGTAAGTTGGACTTTTTCATAAGAAAACATTAATTACCAGCCAAAGAACTTCACGAATGTAGGCGAGGATGTTTGATATTTCTTGCAATTTCCAAATCCATTGTCATAAGAGAGAAGAAATGAATATCTTGCCGTATCATTATTGTTCTAACTTTACAGGGTTTGGATTGAGCCTTCTGAAGGTCAGAAGGCTTGGTCAAGAAACGACAATTGGTGGGGGGGAGAGGGGGTGTTGGGCTGAGAAAAAGCCCTTAGGATCTTTCCAGAGACCAAGTCCCACTTGTACAATGTGTTTGAGTAGAACCTTTGCACTAGTATGTGAGAGCAGGTGATTGATTAAAAGAAGCAAGCATACAGGAAAATATAGAAAATAGGAAATAAAGCTGTTGTAGAGTACAGTTGAATAAACGGTTATCGAGTCACACAGCAAATCGATCGTTGGTTTGGTTACCAGCCTTGCAGTCGCAACGGTTAGTCGCAACCTCCGGTTGCAACCCTTCGAATCCTTTCGTCCTTTCGTGTTCTTTCGTCCAACCTCCTCGTGTAACATCCGTTGACTCGTGTACTCGATACGACTTTTCTTCGAGTGTAGCGTTACACTTAAAAAATGCTTAAGTCTTTGAGGTGTTTCCAACAGGGGGGAAGGGCTGAATAGGGGGGGGGGGGGAGGGGGGCGGCGAGATTGTAGGGGCGGAGGGAATCTCGTCCCTCGCAGAGCCCTAGGGCAGGCGCACATCAAGCAAATTTGGCCAAGGGCCAGCAATTGCCCTCACACAGTCCTCAGCACACCTCCCTCACATGACCTCCAACATACAGCGCGGAGATTTTTTTGACTGAAATCATATAGACAAGTAGATAGAAACATTCGTTTGCTTAAAATAATATGGTTTTCACGTAACGTTATGATTTTATTGTATGTATGCACGATGTGGCTTTTTGTTCTGCAGTACTAGGTCTTTGATCCGATCATGTGTATACACGAACTGGATTTCGTTATAGTTTAGAAAGGATTAGGACATAAAAATTGAATGGGTTACAAACTTACATCTGTAACTCCCGTTTTGTTGACAGTCTGGCGAAATCACTTGGAAATCAGTCGCGCACGAAGGACAAGGCCACAGGCGACTGAACACTGTGCGAATCTTAATAGTAGCTCAGTGCGCGTGCAATTTTTGGCGGGAGTTTCGGCTTTCTAGCGGTTGTTTCATCTTGTGACCGAACGTGATGGCCTTGGCCCCGAGCAAGTGATGACTCCTGATAACCGTGTGACTAACCGTGATAGATCGCCACTAAAAATGACCTTTCGTGATAGCCGAATGACTAAACGCGATAGCACGCCTAGTATTTGTGACCCCTCATATAAATGCCCACGTTTCGTGATGGGTGCAGCATTTGCCGCCACAAAACAATGATATAAATCGGGGTACAGGCAGCGAGGGGCTGATTTTTGTCGCGACCCTAAGCGCAACAATTGAATTGGGATCTGGCAAATGTTTCCACAGCAGACCAAAAATACAAATCCAAAATACGTCACATCACAATGAAAACGGGTACAGTCTTGGAGGGTCGACCGTTTTGGGTAACAAGGGTCTGCTATACATCGCGCGCTAAAATGGTCGATCGTCTCGAACCAAAATTCATTTCCGTCAAAGCGCGCGATTCCCTCCCATTTCGCCAGGACAGAAGCAAGCACCAGCATGGCAGTCATGGGGCCTGTCCGTCCGTTCCGTACCCTCCCTCGCTCCGTCCCTGAGGGCTCAAGCCTCTCCCGAACCTCAGAACAGGACTGAAACCAGTTTGACCCTAGCCCGTTTGAAAACAAAAACGCACTGTGCTATTTAGGTTGCGTAGCAACCCTAAAAAATTGGTTTCACATTTCGGACCACTGATATGAACAGTCTTTCGAAGCTACTGTTCAATGCAAATCCAAATTGTGAATCCAAATGTCAAACTGCTCCATCTCGTCGATAAGTACGGCAGATGAAACAATTTGACCGTATGACATATTTAAACAAATGTTCCTGTATAATTAAAAACCATATAAGATTGCAAATGCCATGAAACGAGTGCAAATAGGCATTAGTGTTGCAGCAGAGATTGATGGGGTGCGCGTTGACAGCGGAGCTGCCCCGGGCACGATGAAAATCTCTAACTGCAACACCTAGCCTATAAGCAACACGCACAAGGCAGACACAATCCACACCACATCACATTGACATATGCACTGGAGATTAAGAGCCGCAGGCACAACTAAAAGCTACACATGTGGAACCACTTATCAACCAACAAATCTCTCCAACCACCTGTTCCACCCCATCTGACGCATCCTTCCCTCCCCTCCCCGCCACCTTCCCCGTCCCTTCCCACCCATACTCCACACCCCTATTTATTTGAACAGCAAAATGCAGATTTCTTCAGTTATGGTTGTCAACTAGAAATAATAATGATACAAGTAAAACAAGGGGGGATATATGTGTTCTTGTTGTACCCTCTAGCAGCATACAACTATCTAGCCTATAACTTCTATATCGCAACATATGTATAAGTTGACACACCCCCTAGGCTAGATAAGGGGTAGTGCAGAGCAAGAAACACACAGCTCAGGGTAGCATTACTA